TGGGACCCTGAAGCCAGCAAATATGTAAAATATCGGCCAATTGATCAAGCAAAACCACCGTCACTTCCACAGGAATTTCTAATGTTAGTTGATAGAGCCATCAAGGACTCTCACTCTCTTATAGCTAAACAGTCTGGGGCAAATAATGTAGAAGACATTCTTCCCCCAGTCAAGCCAGATATCTGCCTTGTAAATTATTATACACAAACTGGACGGCTCGGTTTACATCAGGTTCGTAATTCTGAAGTTTTATCTGATTTTCCTTGTATTGAAATTGCATGATTTAGCTTTCAGTGTGACAACCAACACTTTCATGTTGAGTAACATTTGGACAGCTCTTCTATAATACCTATTAGAAATTGTCTTACTGTTGCTGTAACCCTTTTTGTTTGCTTGCTTGCTTGTTTGTTTGCTGTCAAATGGAATCTTGTTAATTCTTAGAAACAAGTAAATGATCTCCAATATTGAAGTTAATGGGTATTGTATCACACAATAAAGAACATCTTTCTAAGTTTGGTAAAAAAACTCTAGCTTCTTTACTCATAGTCTGTAATGAGTAAAGACCACCTAATCTCCCAAAAGCTAGAATAAAATTAGAAAACTGGTGTTTGCTGACTTGCTCTATGCTCTATAGCCTCTATACTACAGGGCCAAAGCGTCTGTCAGCTTAATAAGTTAAGCAACTAACACCTTAATAGGTGAAGAGTAAGTTGCCCCTGTTAGTTGTCTATCTGGCAATTAACCTGGCCTTTTTGTTCTACAATTATACGATTCTGTAGTCTATAATGTCAAGCAAAGTGAAGCTCTAGGACCTCATTGCCTTGATTGATACATTCATCTGCTTGTTTCAGGACAAGGATGAGAGTCGAGAGAGTCTTGAGAAAGGAATGCCTATTGTGTCTTTCTCCATTGGTGACTCTGCAGAATTTTTATATGGTGATCAGGCAGATGCTGAAAAGGCTGATAAGATCAAATTAGAATCTGGAGATGTTCTTATATTCGGAGGTAAATCAAGACATATTTTCCATGGTGTCTCTGCAATTCTGCCAGGTACTGCCCCACCATCTCTGCTTCAAGAAACTAATTTTCGCCCTGGTCGTCTGAATCTTACTTTCAGACAGCATCTATAATCTGCTCCTGTTTTTTTTTTTTGGGCCAAAAAAGAGGGGGAGAGGGTTTGATATATCATTATATTGTATTACTTGTGTTTTTAATATGGTGATGGTAGTATGGCACGGGATTTGGCCTACAGCCCTGTGTCAAGGAACTCTCAACACTGTTCAAAATGGGGAAGAAAAGGGAACTCCCCCCCCCCCCTCCCCACAAATATTGTAGGATTTTTTTTTTGTTTTTGTAAATGGTGATGGTTTGAATGCTAATAGACTAGCCATGTCGTCCATATAAAAAGCCGAAGGAGAGAGACACACCATTCTCCCTCCTTCCATGGAAATAGTAGAAACAGAGGATTTTCACTGATAATGGAATGCTTCCTTAAATGGAAACTTCAGATTTGTTGTAATGTTTTCTTATTTGCACATAATTTCTCTCTATCTTTCTCCCTACCGCATATATATATATATATATTTTTTTTTTTTACTCTGTATTATCATCTCTATTTCTCATTATCATCAAATGAAAATAACGTATCAAGAATGGAGAACCTAATATACAAAGCATATTTTTTTGAATGGGAATATGTTTTTATTTAAATGGAAAGAAAGCCTAATTATTGAGCATTATATTGCAACTTTGGTAGTAAATCATCTCTTTAAAAAAATTATTCATAGTAAATCAATTTTATGATATATGTTTCCTTGGACATGAAAATATGCAAAGATAGATATCTGGAAGATTTGTGGATGCTTTTATTGATATTGATATTGATATGGATTCTGTTTTCTTATTACCTATACATAGAAGAGTAACTTCAAGAGAAAAACATTCTACCACACATAAAATGATGCTCAAAATTTTGTTTCTAATTTGTATTTTTTTACAAAACTATGTATTAGCTTCAAAATACAATGTTATAGACTTTCTTGATTGGCTTACTCTTCATTCAAATACCTCAAATTTGATCACAAAAGTTGTCTATACTCCACAAAATGTTTCATATTCATTTGTACTGAATGCAAATGTTAGAAACTTAAGGTTCAATACGTCCTCTGCCCCAAAACATCTAGCCATTGTCACAGCCTTAGATAAATCCCATGTCCAAGCAACTATTTTGTGTGCTAAGGCACATGGCCTGGAGATGAGAATCCGAAGTGGAGGCCATGATTATGAAGGCCTCTCCTATAGATCCCCGAACCCATTTATAATTCTCGATCTTTTCAACCTTCGGTCAATTGATATTGATCTAGGGAGTGACACTGCTTGGGTTCAAGCAGGGGCAACTCTTGGTGAACTTTACTACAGCATAGCAAAGTTAAGCAATACGCGTGCCTTCCCTGGAGGTGTGTGTACATCTGTTGCGGTGGGTGGCCATTTCTCTGGAGGTGGCTATGGTAATATGCTTAGGAAATTCGGGTTGACAGTAGATAACATCATCGATGCAGAAATAGTGGATGTCAACAGTGTAATTCTGAACCGGAAAACAATGGGGGAAGACCTGTTTTGGGCTATTAGAGGTGGTGGGGCTGCTAGTTTTTGTGTTGTATTAGCATGGAAGATTAGATTAGTCCAAGTTCCAGAGATAGTAACCACCTTTGTTGTAGTGAAGACCTTAGAGGAAAGGGGAGGCGACGTTTTCGATCAATGGCAGCATGTTGCTCACAATTTAGATCCAAACTTGTTTATAAGAACTGAAGCTATTTACAACCGGTCACATAGAAGTGAAAGCACCAACAAGACGTTGCAACTTTCGTTCTTAGGAATGTACCTAGGACGGTCCAACGACCTTATTAAGGTCGTAAGTAAGGATTTTCCTCTGCTAGGCTTAAAGAAAGACGATTGCAGTGAGATGAGTTGGGTGGAATCAACTATAAACTACTATGGTTTACCTATGAATTCTTCCCTAGAGATTTTGCTAGAACGAGCTCCACCACAAGGTTTGACGTATGACAAGCACAAGTCGGATTATGTTAAAGAGCCAATTCCTAAGGCAGGATTAGATAAATTATGGGAAAAGATAGTTGAAGTAGAACATGTAAAATTGCAAATAAATCCTTATGGTGGTAAAATGAGCCAAATTTCAGAGACCGCAACACCCTTTCCTCACAGGAAAGGAAACCTCTTAAAGATTCAATATCTTTCTTACTGGAAACATAACTCAAGGTCGTCGATACATTGAAGGAACGAATGAGGTATACAGGTTTATGACTCCTTATGTATCGAAGAACCCGAGGGAGGCCTTTCTTAACTACAGGGATATTGATATTGGAAATAATGCAAACAATAGCTTAGCTTTTGCTACTGCATACTTTAAAGGAAACCTCCGGCGATTGTTGAGAGTAAAGGCTAAGGTTGATCCCGGTAACTTCTTTAGGTACGAGCAAAGTATTCCTGTTTTGGCTAGCTTCAAACACACAAGTTGATCCATACATCAGTCTAATGTAACGCAGTGAAATTATTGTTGTTTGTATTTCATTGTTGTTTCACAATTCAGAAAAATGGAATAATATTATTAATGAATTATTGATATGCTATTGATTATACAGAAACAATATACACTATCTTAAGCAGAAACAATGACAACTTTCAACTTATATCTTCACTAATCAAAAGTAATGAATAAAAGACTAGGCTTTTCATTACATAGTTATTCATTCCTTATAATTCAGTACATATTTATTCATTCCTTATAATAAGATCATAAAGTATTTGATTCTCATAAAAATATATGTACATATCTTGAATTGTTGACAACTGTTAATGAATGAAAAAGCCTAGTCTTTGCATTGGCAGCCAAACTTCATCAGTAATTACAAATTACACCAAAAAAATTCCTTAATTAATTGGTAGCTCCAACTTAAAAACAACTAAACAAATTAAACACACCTAAGTCAAACCCAACAAATACTCATCATCAATTGATTAAGCATCACTATCAAACCACCGTCTAATTTACATTAATCATGTCAACAAGTAAACTAACATTATTAGTATTAATTTTTTTGTTACAAACTCTTACCAATTTTTTAAATTTTATTCATGTTACTATCATAATACTACATATAAATATACACATAATTTCATGCAAAAACTATACTCATCTCATAAAACATTCTTTTCCTCTTCCAAATCTACAAAACTCTGAAGAAAAGAAGGCAATCTAGCTTCTAAAAGAGAGTAAGTTAGCCATGCTGGAGAAGCAGGGCACATGCTTGATATATACTACTAGTACACTCCCTTGGTCCAGGATCATGTATTACGTTGATATTGTAGTTTGAACTAGTAATGTGATAAGTAAATCCAGAAGGAGGTAGTGTTGTATATGTAGGCTTGTGTCCTGTCTCTCCATCTTGGTAACTTGCCCTTCATAACCTTCAAGTTAAGGCCACTCCTTCGACGTGGAAGGGTGTCGAAATCAGCAGCTCTGCACTCATTTGATGATGCTTCACAGTCTGAATGAAAGAAGTGGGGAGAAGGAGAACAAGGAATTGGTAGTGATTCACAAAATGCATGTCGTGAACGTGCTCAACATTTTTTGTCTTTAACTTGCCGTCCATTATGTTGCATTCTTGGTCAGCTAATTTCAAGATTATAAAGTTTTTTATTTGTCCTGATTTTACAGGTTTGATTACGAATTTATTACTTCCTCTCTTATTTTAAGGTCTAGATTGTGACACGTTTAGAAGTAATCTGTTTCGATCAGTATAAAACAGTTTTAATCACTAAAAATATTTCTTACATACGACTTAAACACTAGTTGATCAGAATAATTCAATTTTTATTAACATTGTCAATTAGTAATAAACTACTCGTACTAGTTAGTGTAGGTGAAAATTAACGTGTTAAATTGGTGCTTAATCAACAAGAATATTTCATTAAATTAGACATGGTAGAATAGCCTTCAACTGGCCATCTTTGCATTACTAATAAATATATAATTTACAGAATTTCCAGCATCAGAAATAGATTGAATTTCAAAATAAATTAATATCATAAATTAGATAAATTTAATCAACCAAAAACTAGTGTAATTTACAAATCTTGATCTTGTATTACAGTCATTTACGATCTGATCTGCTGTCAAGTGCTGATGCAGCAGAGTCTATATGAACAAGCAAGCACGCGTAAACTTTCTTCTTAAGCTTATCAATTCTTTGTGAAACACCATCATCATTATGTGCAGCATTACTCGTACTTACTTTGAATTTGTCCAAGCATTCATTGGCTTGCTTAAGTTGTGACAATGTCACTGCAATATGATTATTAGGTTCTAATGATCTCCTCCCAATGCTATGTTTAATGTTTTTCTTCTCCACTCGAAAACCACTATCTAGTGCTGCATCCAAGAACTTCAAAAACCATGATCGCGATTCTTTCAATAACATGTCTTTGACCTCATTTATGTCACTCATTCCGTGTCCTTTAGACCACTCGAACTTATCACCCAAGCTTAATTCAGGTGCCGGCTTTAAGGATTTCATGTTGCTTTTCTCGTTGTGGGAAAGTGATGGTGCAGTGCTAGGCTTATCATTGCCTTGTGATGGTGAATTGTTTTGTAATATCAGGAGTTTATCCTTTGAAGAGCCTGGTTGATCTATGACTTGTAGCGCGAAGAACTTTGCAAGAGAGACGTGAGGATTTGAAGGTGAAGCAGAGGAACATAGATCTGCAAACATGCTGAGTGAAAAAGAATCAGAGTTAATTTAAACTGCAGGAACAGAACTTATGCCAAATTTTCGAGTACTGGTTAATTATGATCAACTTACTCTATACACTTGACAAGAATTGCAGCTGCCGTCGCTTCTTTCTGAGCTTCTGCTGCAATTATGGATGCTAAGTCTCTTCTCCTAATCATTACCTTAATTATAAACAACCATAAAAAAAAATGAGAACCTATTATGCAAGAAAAAGACTCGAAAATTTCGAACTATTTCAAGGAAATGGGAAACATTCGGCAAAAATGAGTACCTTTCCAGGCTTCAGAAGGCTGGCAGGAAGAGCATTCCAAGGGGATGTCTGCTGATCTGAAGTTTTAGTCTTGTCCTTTCCATTCGTCGAGTAATTTAAATTGACGTTTTCTTGTTTGGTAACGCTTTTTCTAGGGGCAACCTTAAGAGATTGAGATTGTATGGTCTCTCTAGCAGAGTCAACCTTTACTTCATGAGTCTCTGGACGTGTTCGAGTAGGAGTCATTAGACGAGGGCGAGAGGGAACTGCAGGACGTAGACGGGAAGGTGTCGTGGGACGAGCTCGTGAGGGTGTGACCGGACGACTATTACATAGAGTAGCAGGGAGACTCTGCCACTATAATAATCATCAAATATCAGCACAATAGTTAAAAAAAAAAAAAAAAAAAAAAACAGAATTTTTAAAGATTGTTCTTTTTGCCTAAACAAGCCCGTGACTGAATTTATTAACCTGTATCTGAACTTATTTTTAAAAAGTTGAAAAGAACAAAGCCTTAATACTGTAGAACAGATTTTAGAATCACTGCTACTAATTCGTACCTGACCTTTAGGCTCATGTAGCTTAGATTTCGAGACACCAGTCTTACCACCTCCAATACTTTCAGTATCACTGCTCTTCATACTGATAGAATCACTGCAACTAATTCTATGATGAGTTGATATCACGCCCTCCATATAGCGCGATGAAACCACAGATTTCTCTTCTTTAATCACAAACTTATGTAGTCTTGAGCTCCTAACCTTCTTCTCTGGTGTCTTGCTAGCCACATTTCCATTGCTAAAGCTACGAGAATCAACACGAACAGGACCTTCAGACGGGTCTAAAATCTGCATCAGGTCCTTAGGATTACCAATAAAAGGATTTCTGCCAGGAAGAGGCCTGATTCCGACTACAGTAGGAATCGGAGTTCCAGCCTCTAAGCGATCAACATAGAAAAACTGGCCTAATTGCAATTTGTTGTTTAAAATGAGCTCGACGTCTTCCTTGGACAAGGACACGTACGTGGAGTGTGAAGAGTCGGAAACCTTAAGGAAGAAGCCGTGATCAGGCCATAACTCTCCTCCACTTAAGGCCGGAACAATGCTGATCACTTGTAAGAGGACTGATCGATACTCCCCTCGAACTTTTACTTTCGAATCTATGCTCTGAAGTAGCTTGAGTAGCACCCCAGGTATTAGGGATGCCATTCTGATGGCCTTTAACTCTGCTTTGTATGAACTACTTTGACTTTCATACAAAACTTGATTAAAATCAGATTTATCTAGTCTTGCTCTTTTCGTTTGGCAGGTACTTTGATATAAACACGACAAAATGTTACAAGCTTACAACCCACAAGCCTGATCAAAACTTGGTTAAAGTTTTAGGGTCTTGAACACGATTTTTGGACCTGAAATAACACAATAAAAAACATTATGATCCAATAAGCAATTCATATGAAACTCGGATATATATTAAACTTATAATCAAGATCCAATTAGACAAGCCTAGGTGAAAGTCAATGGATTATAGATTGGTCTTTACATTCTTTCACTTTGTCAACTTAGTGATAACAATATATATAGCCATTATAGATTAACATCAGAACATAGAAGTTAAAGGGTTCCTAGAGTTATGTTCGCGATTCTTACAAACACTAGACCAATAATAACAACGTTTACATTAGTAACAAAAAAGTTCATAAAAATTATAGAAACAAGAAAACATAAATAAACAGAATATAAATTGTACAAAGATAAATCACCAAAAATTAATATTACCTGAAAAGTTAAGCAGAATCAAGGGAGAGAAGTACGACGAATTTGGATGAACAATCGATCAAACAAAGAACTAAAAAATCCAAAAAAAACATGAAAAATATCTATGTAGGTTGAATTTGTGTAAAAATGAAGAAGATTGTTTCTGTTGTAAGAAATTGATGATGAAGAAGAAGTCTTTTTTTTTTTTTTTTTTTTTCTTTTGAGTTAGCTTTGCATGCCAGGCACGTAACTATCTACCTCTCTTAGTTTTCAAGTCATGAATTGAAGAACCAATTAAACTTGCACTATTCTTTATTCCTCATGAAACCAATCATAATACAAGGGACCATGTCACATATTATTTTGGACCCACTTTAATTGTTATTATTATTATAAGAGTATGAAATTATATAATATGATTACTAAATTCTAATTTGATATGGGTCCCTTTCAGGTAAAATTCTCCTTTCAGGAAGAGCAAATGAACTTATAGCTAAAGGTAATATGTCAAAATATATATATATATATATATATATATATATATATATATTAGTTACTTAATTATGAAAGAAAGGGATGTTAAATCTTAAAATAAACAATTGTCCAAAAAATATAAAATGTTGGTGAAAGATCATGCAAGCATATAAGGATAAAGTCTAACTTTAATGTAAGAATGTATCAAACGTGTGACACATTAACATACTTGGAGAATGTTTGAAAAGTTCTTTTTATTTTAATACAGAAAATATAAAAAGTATAGTACTAGGTCAAATTATTCAATTATTAGGTAATTAAACATGTTTTCCACTCATGATTTCGGATTAAGTGGCAGAATACTTTATCAACAAACCAAAAAATCCTGCTGAATTCAAGTACAGTGTTGTTATGCTGGATTATTGGACACCATTTGAGTACATTTGAAGTAAAGGATAAATATATCTTATACTTTTCCCTACTTTTAAAACAATTGTCTTGGTAACTTGTTTTTCTTAGCTTTTTTCATTTAGCTTGGTACAGCAAAAAATTAGGGAGTAAATTGATTAAAATATTTCTCATAATTTATTTATCTTGCTTTAATATATGAAGTTGTTTTTTTTTTTTATCTCAATGAGGATATTCATCCGAGGAAGAAAGAAGCAAAAAACAAACAAAGAAAAAGAACAGAACAGCAAAAACCAAACCAACAAAAACAAATAAACCTATTAGCTAAGCTAAGGAGGAACTAAGCGAGGCAGAGAAACCCCTCTAGCATCCTCCTGTAAAATCCTCCCAAGCTCTTCCGGCACTGAATTTATGATATTAAGATGTGAGTCTTGAGAGACGCCGCAGTTGGCCAACCAATCCGCCGCTCGGTTTCCTTCTCTATAGATGTGAACCACTCGAACTTCCCATTGATCATCACATATTAGCTTATGGCAGTGATTAATGTCATGAATACATTCCCCTTTGCCATCAGATTTATTTTGCAAGATCCTCACACAAGACTGATTATCCAGGTGCACTTCAAGCTTTTTAATTTTCAAATTCTGGGCTAATTCCAGACCTTTGACGAGAGCCATTACTTCTGCTCTGAAGGCTGTACAAACACCAAAGTTTATTGAGATGCCAGAAATAAACTGACCTGTATGATCTCGTATTAAGGCACCTCCCCCTGCTGGACCAGGACAGCCTTTCGCAGCACCGTCACAGTTAAGTACGAACCAGCCAATCGAGGGAGAGTGCCATTTAACATTAATTTCCACTTTTTGCTTGTTGGAATTTGACAATCCTGGCTTCAATTTGACTAGGCTTTCACGAGTTTATCTAAATCTAACTCGGAGAAAAGCGCCCACATCAATTGGAATTTCATCTTGTCTATTAAAAACCCAGCAATTTCTCCATTTCCAGATACACTGATAAACAGAACATGGTATCCCATCCATCAGTATTAATGGTGCTTGAAACGTCAAGGTTAAAGCTTAACCAATCTTTTAAGGGGAGATGAAAGAATGGATTATGGAACCTTGGATGCAGAATCTTATTCCAAACCAATCTAGCATTTGGGCAGTCTCTAAGAATATGTAGAGCTGATTCATCACCATTCCCGCAAATATGGCAAGTGGGGATGTCATTCAGTTTGCGTTTAAACATGTTCAGATTTCATAGAATGCGGTCATGACAAACCAGCCAGAGAAAGGCTCTAATCCCCTGCTGTACAGGGGCTGACCAGACCATATTCCAACATTCCTCATCTAGAACATCAGTCTCATGTCTCATGATACTCATCACAGATTTTATAGTGAATTTGCCTTGCGAATTGCCTTTCCAATAAACCAAGTCACTTATAGCAGGGTCTGCTCTGATTTCATGATTTTGGATACATTTGAGTGCTTCTTGTGGTAAAAAAGGAGCAAAAATGTTCCACCTCCATCCTTGTCCCTCTTCCCACATTTCCTCGACAGTAGCCCCTTCTATCTCCAGCGGAATTGGATGAAGAGCTAGGTCACTTAGAGGTTTATCCATTGCCCACTTATGGTCCCAAAAGAGGGTGCGATTTCCATTGCCAATTGCTACACGAATTCCTTCCCCAAGAACCTTAGCATTTTCCGTAATGCCATTCCAGACATTAGAACTTCCCGGTTTAGGCACAAACATGTCTACATCGCATCTTCCTTTGCAATACTTAGCACGCAACACTCGGGCCCAAAGGGAATGAGGCTCACTTAGCATCCTCCAACCCAGTTTCGCAAGGAAGGCTGAATTTGCTTGTTTCGCAGACCAAATACCAAGCCCCCAAATTCTTTTGGTCGTTGCAAACACTCCCACGATATCAAGTGGATTCTCTTCTTCTCATCATTTCCACCCCACACAAATCTTCGTGTCTTTCTATCAATATTATCACAAATGGATTTAGGGAGTTTAGCCGTTTGCATCAAGTAATAGGACATGGTTGTCAAGGTAGACTTCGCTAGAGTGATGCGCCCAGCAAGAGATAAATACTTTGCTTTCCATCCTGCCAATCGTCTATCAATTTTTTCACAGAGATAGCTAAATGTATCTTTTGTTACTCTACTCGTTAGAGTTGGCATTCCCAGGTATACACCCAAATCGGATGTCATTTCCATGCCCAATTCAGCACTAATGTCAGCCTGTAAATCCATTCCTACATTCTTCGAGAAAAACGCTCTAGATTTTTGCAAACTGACCTTTTGCCCCGAGGCTGTGCAAAAACGATTTAAGCAGGAGCTAATAACCGTGGCTTGTTCGATACTAGCTTCAGTAAATAACACTATGTCGTCAGCAAAGAACAAATTCGAAAGCTCTGGTCCATCCTTGCTTGCCCGAATTGTTTTCCAACTTCCCTTAATAATCGTTTCCTCAATCACTTGATAAAAGCGCTCCATACACATCACAAAGATGTAAGGGGATAACGGATCCCCTTGACATATACCTCGACTTGGAGTAAAGGGAGGAGAAGGCTCACAATTCCAAAGCACTTGTAATGAAGCAGTGGTAATGCAATCCATTATGACTTCGGTCATGTTAATCGGCAAATTCATTTGCACTAGAGTGTCTCGTATGAAATCCCATCTAAGCCTATCGTAGGCTTTCTCAAAATCAATCTTGATTGCCATATACCCTATAGCCCCTTGCTTCTTTTTCATAGTGTGCAATACCTCTTGAATAATCACTATATTATCACTAATTTGCCTTCCGGGGACAAAACTGGATTGAGTATTTGAGATTAAGTGAGGAAGTACTGGTTTTATTCGGTTAACGATGACCTTCGTGATGATTTTGTATGCAACATTGCATAGACCAATTGGTCGAAATTGGGAAGTCGTTTCCGGTTGATCAACCTTTGGAATAAGCGCAATATAGGTGTTATTAAGGTCCTTGGCCGACTTTTTTCCTTCCAAAATTGGTAGCACAGTATCATAAACATTCTTCGACACTAGCTCCCAATTTTTTTGATAGAACAACACTTGAAATCCATTAGGTCCAGGTGCTTTAAGAGCTCCCATATCCTTGATCACCTCATCTATATCATGTCTCGAGTAATACCTTGTTAGCAGCCTCCAATCATCATTCGACAGTGCAGGAAAAATGTCTTGGGGTATGTCAGTTAGATCATGCTCCCCTTTTGCCGTGAATAATCTGGAAAAATACTCTACAATGATGTTTTGTATTTCCCCCTTGTCTTGAGTCCATACCCCTTCCTTATTTTTCAGCACAGACACCTTATTTTTCCATCTTCGCACAATAGTGCTTAAATGGAAAAAGGTTGTATTTCTGTCTCCATCTTGCAGCCAAGTCACACGAGATTTTTGGTACCATAAAGTTTCCTCACGATCTAAAATTTCATCCAACTCCCTTCGAATTCTCGATTCAAGTTTGAATAGACCTCTATCAACACGATTTGCCAATGCCTTTTGGATACCACCTAGTCGAGCAAGCAGAATTTTTTTCTGTTTAAATATATTACCAAATGTATCTCGATTCCAATTTTGCAAGTCTGTCGAGAGCTTTGCAAGGGCAGGAACCAAAGGTCTATCTTTGCTCTAATGTTGTTCAACAAAATCTCTGAAATTCTCATGATGTAACCATGCCGCTTGAAATCTAAAGGGCCTATGTAACTAGGGATGGAATTGGGCGGTGCGGGTACGGGTACCCCCTCCCCCATACTCAAACCCGCCAAAATATTTTATACCCACCACCTACCCGCCACTCGCGGCGGGTAATTTTTCAACACCCACACCCGCCTAAGCGGGTAGAAACCTAAACCCACACCCGCTCCACTACCCAAGTGGATATCCACCACCTGCGTTTGCCCGCCTTTACCCGCTAACAAAATATCAGTTTTTTTATATAAATTTCTTATATAAACTGTCATTATACACTGAAAATTATTGCAAATATATAGTTAATTTGAAATACAAACAATCAAAGTAGTCCGACATCATAACAAATACAAATTAAATTACATAAAAATTTCTCCATAAATGTTTAAAGCAAAACTCAGTCTATATGCACAACTCCACTTTTTCCTGAATCCATTTCATCATCATAGCCATCATCACAATTATTTCCACCCATCATAATACATTCACCACTTCCTGCACAAGCATAAACACAAATACATAAATTAGATTCTAACGTAAAAAAAAAAAAATAGATTCTAACTTTACCTTAATTAAACATAAGTAATTTTAATAGGAGTAGTGAGTACATTACCTTTATAATTTGCCCAAATCCAATTTTGAGAACACATCAATGCCTCTACGGTCTCTGGGAGAAGTCTACTACGATAAGGATCAAGTACACGACCACTAGTGCTAAATGCAGATTCGGACGGAACAGTAGAAACGGGTATGCT